GAATCCTCTAATTCTACAAGGAATCAAAACTACTTCAGCGTTCAGCAGTTGCTCAAATAGAGATGAGTACGATCATATGAGGAATGAGTATTTTGCTTTTCGAGGAGCTGATTCGAGCAATCTGCCTTTGGATGTAGACATGAATGAAACTCCTGACGGTTATGGAGTTGACGGAAATCATGACTGGGGGAGAGAACTATCCTTACCTCCATTTGATTCAGGTGGCTTAGGATCTGCCATAAACCCTTCTGGCACACTAGTAACATCTTCTGGAACTTCCGGATATGTGGTAGAAGAAAATAATGTTAGGGAGGTTCTATCAAGTGATGGCAGGAGTATATCCCACAAAAGAGGAGCACCTGAATATGTTTTCCGTGAATTGTTTACAGGAGATGGTTCAACCTATGGACAGAGAGCTGGAGATCATCCTAGTGAACAACTTGCTTCAAATGGCCTAGCCTATCTCAATCATGGCAGGTTAAATTCAACAGGCTCCTGGAATAATCACCTTATGAATGCTAGTCACTCAGCATCGTCCACTGTTATATTTGGGGATGATCTGCAAGCTGCAAGCTCATCTCCACAACTAAACTCACGTCTCGTAGCAGGAAGTCCACTGGTTTTCGGGCAAGCACTTGGTCCACACCAAGCTTCAAGTGCGGCAAGGCAAATGCATGTCTTCGAGAGAAATACTCGATTGAGAACAGAAAACCAACAAGATGTTGTACCTGAGGCAACATCAGCTCAAACAGTAGGCAACCTTATACGATTATTATATCAAATGAATTTCATTCTTCCATGCGATCAAGTTCTTAATGAAATCTTAGAACCTCAGTTTCCTGCTCATGCAACTTTAGCAGCACAACTGCCTGTCGTAGAGATCCAAAATCTTTCACAAAGTCTACTACTTTCTCAATGGTGTAACGAGGTAACTTGGTTGGGAGGTGCCTTATCAGCTGTCTCTCCTGCCACTCACGTTATGAATGGAGGATCTGGGGTACATCAGGAAGGGAACCCGATGAACCAAGCGAGACAAATTGTGCCTTTCAATGAGGGTACGAGCACTAACCGGGCTGAAGTGTCGCCAAATGAGAATGTGATTACAGATATTTCTAGTAACGTTGCTTCTTCTTCCCGAAATGTGTCTGGTCCAAGTGTTGAGGTACCACCAGCTGCAAATAACTCCCCCCAACCAATCATGGCTGAAGAATATGTCCAAAGAAATATTAACACTGTGAATCAGCCTGTGGGACGTAGAGGTGGAATGCGGGTTCCAATACCTTCGAGTGCTCCTGCTGTTGCAAGAGGTACGGAGGCTCCAGCTGGAGATGGAAATGGAAGGTCTTCTCAGCGAGCTTTGAGGATGCGAGCTGTACCTGGTCCTCCTGACGTTTCTGATTTTCCACTTCCGCTCGAATGTTTAACTGATGATGAGAGAAGACAAGCAATTCAGGTATGTACCAAAAACATTGCTGTTTCTTGTGGGTTTACTTATCTGAAAAATATTTTTGGGATAATTTATCTGGAATAACTGAGACTTGATTGTTGAGACTTGTGAATAATAGATACTGTTGAACAGTGTTAAATGTTAAAGAATATATCGAGTGGTAAGATGTGATACATTAATATTTAATATAAAATTCATATCTTGAACTTCAATATAAAAGGTTTTATTGATTATCTTATATTTTGTGTTTAATTTACTTCAAATTATTTTATACATAATTTATATGATTAAATAGTCCTACAAGTTGATTTATGTAGGCGAATATGTGTACTACAAGCCTGCAAACCTTTATCCATTACGATGAGGATACATGAATTTTCTTCTGTTAGGGTTATTATTAGATTACCGTATATTTATGATATAACGACTTTGTTATATTTTCACATATATTCATGGGAATGAGTTTAAGCAGATGGAGTTGATATTTTAGAAACGCTTTGTGGCCATTTGAATAGAATACTTTTATACTTGGCAAAAATTATGTTTTTTTTTAGAGTGAAAGTGTCTTTTAAAAAAGAAAATTTTGAAGTGAGTTCTTTTCCAATTTCAATCGCTCTGCGTATTCTCTAATAATATAGAGAATTTATTGGTATATTAGTGCAAAAATATTCATTTTATAACGGTTAAAGACAAGAATGTTTCTCTTAAGTTAGATTAAACTAAAGTATCAATTTCAAATGATATGTTTTAATTTTTGCTATTGTTTTCTTCTGCATGGATTGGATGACGGCATGCTAGGAATTCATCATGATGAATAACCTTATTCACATTTCCGATAGCGATGATGATGATGATGATGATGATTATGAAGATGAGGAAGATGAGGTAATCCTAGATGTCTTTTTCTAGCAGTTATTTCAGTTAAAATATTATAAAAGATAATAACATACAAGCCAAAAAAAATTTCAAACTATAAAAAAATCATGTTTTACATACATAAATACGTACATACATGTATACTTCGGAGTAATTTTTGAAGTAAATTATGATTTATTCACTATGAATTACTTGAGCTTGAAGTACAGATGGGATATATTGATAATGGGTTAGCCGAGCCTATAATCCTCGACAATCTAAGCCTAAGGACATATCACTCTGCTCCATCTGAAGCCGAAATATGTTGTATATGTCAGGTAAGAGCTTTGGTTTACAAGATAGAAAATGATCATCCATTAATTAGCGAACCTAAATCATGTTTTGGTTCATAATTTGTAGGACAACTATGAGGAAGGAAATGAAGTTGGAAAATTGAACTGTGAGCATGAGTTTCATTCCAACTGCATCACAAAGTGGTTGGTGATGAATAACACCTGTCCTATCTGCAAGAGGAAGGGTTTGGATGTGGCCGCTCACTAATCCCCCAATGGCAGAACAATCATATATTGGGTCATTTATAGTTTTGGCCTTTTAATAAATATTATCTAATTTTCCTTTATCGTTTATCTTTATATAAATAAGGCTGGATCTGGTCAAGCCAAGGACATATTTATATATGGTTTTGTATCCCTTATTATGGTATTACCTTGTTTACCATACACAAAGTCTTTTGATTCTTCCAGGCTTCTTCCTTTTATGGTTTTATGAGTTTGTAATTCTCGTAGATCCAAATAAAATGATTTTATGGTTATGGATCGAAGCCTCCAAATAGAAACAGAATCATCGAGCTTTGTAGGTTTTGTTGAAGGCAGTATGGTGACTTTAAGACCTTTTGAGCAATTTTCATGTCGAGGCCGGTTTGATGTTAGACCTTTTATAATCTGGTATTTCTTTTGCAATGAATAATAAGTGTGTTTTATGAACCTTAATTATTTTTGTCTTTGCAGTTTGTGTTTTTATTATGAAATGCATGATTATCTTTAATTGTATTGTTAAAATTATTATATATCATCTACAATATTAATTAAAAGAATAAGGAAAAATATAACATTTTTTGATTACTTAAGTTTGATTTGTATAAATAGTTTTTAAGAATAAAATTAATAAGTCAGTATCACCA